GTGCCCAACTAGAATAGGTGAAGTAAGTTTCCATTAAACACATGCAGGATGTGAATGACTCAAAGAAGTCACAACAGGCACTAGTTTAGAAATGTCATTATCTTTTTGATGTCCAGAGGAATAACACTTCTATGGCCTTGGAGGTTGCTTATTGGGAATGACTCTATAAAGTATGCAAGGAGATAAAGAATTGACTGTGCAGAATATGATGTGTCAAAAGGAATTAAGAACAGGTAGGTGATAAACTGGGTGCAGAAACATACTGCTTCACATCATCTTTGTCAGAAGAAAAGGAGACAATTGCAAGTGCATTTTAGATTTAAAGCTGCTACCAAAGAAAGCTCAAATGCACCAATCTGTAAATGCATCTATTTCAATTGTGATGGTTACAAACAGTTGATTTGCTAAATGGAGATTAGTCTGTGTAACAAAATCTTTTTGTCTATTGTTGTGGACTAAACTTACATTTTACTTTCCTAAAAGAGAAAGATTTGGGTTTGGTATAGTGACAGAAATAAAACAACTTATTGGCCAGTAATGTATTTATCATCCTTCTTGATCTGCATAAACTGTGTGCATCCAGCAAGAAAAAAGCTGGGTAGACAGCAAATTAATGACTTTTTTTTTTTTAACCAATCAGAGAATTGAAGCCATCAAAAATCTGGAGAGACAGGCACCTTTAGGGAGACACAGGACCTAAGCATTTGCTTATCTGAGGCAGAAACTACCATATACCTTATAAGCCAGTAGGACAATTAAACTAGAAATTTTGGAGAAATTGCTGGAGGCCAAGGGTGGTCCAGCATGAGAAAGATGAAGCTTCTGGAGATCACAGTCATAAGGATGTTCCTCCCTTTTTGCAGGCTTTTGTTTAGGGAACTCTACCAGGCTCTCACAGAGAGGATTGGGGAGAGTCTAGATAAAGTTTCCGCTATGGTTCTGGCTCAGGGAGAGGAATAGCAACCACTACAAAATCGTCCCAGACCATTCTCCCTTAGGAAACAAAAGACTTCATCTGCAAATGGCACAACCTGAGGGCTAATGCAGGGAATGCCACTGCAGCTGAGGTAGGGGAACTGTGTCCAGACCAGCCTCCCATCTCACCTAAGAGGAAGGGAAACTTCACAGAGGGAAGGGCTTTGAGGTCAGACTGAGGCAGTAGATACTGAAAGCAGGAAACAGAGGGGCAGAGAAAAGCTCTATCCTTAGGGTAGGAGAGGAAATTCTCCTGAATGCTCGATATTATACACTCCAAAGAGTGTGACTAAATTTGAACATTAGAGAATGCTCCTCCTTGTCCACACTCTACCAGCACACTAACAAACCACCAGTTATAATAATGGAGTATCTTGCAGCTGAGAGAGCTGCGAGAGACAGGTTCTCTCTGGGGAACAACAAAAAGGGAAGACTTAAGGCCAAAAGAGAAGACAAAAACAAAGTCACTAGAGGAAATTGAAGTCTGTGGTGCCCATAGCAACAATAAACCTTAGAATTGGTAACTGCAGCATTAACAAACTTCAAACATAGCCCAACTCCTGGCTAGATTAACACAAATATCCACACTAAAGGCCTTTTCATCTCAGTTTCTATTGCCCTGTAAAATAGGTCTGGCTTGCAAAAAAAAAAAAAATATATATATATGTATATACATATATGTACACACACACATACATACACACACACACATAATATATATATACACACACACGACATACCAAAAGCCAAGACAAAAGACAAATAAACAATCTGAAAAGATAACGAAATCATTAAAAGAAGACTCAGCTATGACAGAGATGGTGGAAATATTAGAGAGAGAATTTTAAATAGCTAATGATAACATTAAAGGCTCTAATGGAGAAGGTAGTCATCATTTCAGATCAGGGAGGTAATTTTAGCAGAGACATGGATAAAGAGTCAAATGACAATGACAGAAATCAAAAACATGCTAACAAAAATAAAGAGGGCCTTCAATGGGCTTATTGCTAGATGTGACACAGTTGAGGAAAGAATCAGGGACTCTGAAGTTAGGACAATAGAAATTACACAAACTGAAAGGCAAAAATAAAAAAGAGTGAAAAACACAATAGAGCATCCAAGAGCTGAGGGACTATATCAAATGATGTAACATGAGCATAACTAGAATCCCAGAAGGAGAAGAAAAAGGAAGGGGTGGGTGAAATATCTGAAGAAATAATGGGTAAACATATTCCAAAATTACTGACCACATACCTAAGAAACTTAGACATCATCAAGCAGGGAAAAGCCAACCAACCAACCAACCACATCTAGACATGTCATATTCAAACTGCTAAAAGCTAAAGATAGAAAAAAATCTTAAAGACAGGTCGGGGAACGAAAACCATCTTACCCACTATTATGGACTGAAAGTTTTGTGTCCCACCAGATTGATATGTTGAAGCCTTAACCCTCCAGTGTGATTGTATTTGGACACAGGGCCTCAAAAGAAGTAATTAAAGTAAAATGAAGTCCTAAGGGTGGGATTAATGATAGAGATACCACGTTTTCTTTCTTTCCATCTGCGTGCATGCACTGAGGAAAGGCCATGGGAGGACCCAGTGAGAAGGTGGCCATCTATAAGCCAGGAAGAGAACTCTCACCAGAAACCAACCATGCTGGCACTCTGATCTCAGATGTACAGCCTCCAGAACTGTGAGAAAATTAATTTCTGTTACTTAAGCCACCTACTCTGTGGTATTCTGTTATGGCAGCCAAAGCAGACTAAGACACCTACAAAGGAACAAAGTTAAGAGTTAAAGCAAATTTCTTGTCAGAAACCAGGCAAGCAAGGAGATAACAAAGTGACATCTTTAAAGAGTTTTTAAAAAAATTCTGTCAACCCAGACTTCTATATCCAAAAGAAAATCCTCTACCAACAGACTCACCCTACAAAAAGATGTTAAAAGAAGTTCTTCAGGCAGAAGAAATAAGATATAGGTTAAAACTCAGATCTACACAAAGAAATAGAGTGTAAGAAGTGGAAGCCCTAAAGGTGAAATATATTCTTCGACTTATTTTTAACTACACTAAAATATAACTGTTTAAAGCAATAAATACCCAATGCCTTGTTATGTGTAAAATACATATCATATATATATGTCAAAGACATGAAATATATGACGATAATGGTGAGAGATTAAATCTTTCCCCTAAGATTTAGAACAAGGCAAGGATGTCTTCTCTCACTATTCCTATTCAACCTTGCACTGTAAGTCCTAGCTAGTGCAATAAGGCAAGAAAAATAAAAGGCATACAGATTGGAAAGGAAAAAATAAAACTGCCTTTGTTAGCAGACAACATGGTTGTCTACATAGAAAGTTCCAAAGAATTTACGAAAAAGCCCCCTAGAACTAATAAATGAGTTTGCAAGGTTGTGGGATACAAAGTCAACATACAAAAATAGTGTTCATACATACTAGCAATGAATAAATGGAATCTGAAATTTTAAAAAGACATCATTTACAATAGTACCAAAAAAGAAGTACTTAGGTAACTTAGATAGGTATAAATCTAACAAAATATATGTAAGATCTGTGGAAAGCTATAAAACATTCATGAAACAAGTCAAAGATCTAAAGATCTAAACATCACGTTTGTAGATTTAAGTCTCAATATCTATTCTTCCAATTTGATCTATAATTCAAAATGATCCCAATCAAAATCTCAGCAAGCTTTTTTATACATATCAACAAGATTAGGCTCAAATTTATCTAGAATAGCCAAAACACTGTGCAAAAGAATAGAGTGGAAGATTTCACATTTACTAAATTCAAGATTTACTACAAAGCTACAGAAATCAAAGACAGTATGGTACTGTTAACGTTATACATATAAAGATCAATAGAACAGAACAGCGAAACCAGAAATAGACCCATACAAATATAGTCAACAGATTTTTGACAAAGGTATAAAGGTAATTCAAAACAAACTTATATTTCAGAAATCATTAGAAGTACATGGAACACATTTGGAAAAGGCTACTTTAGAACCCCTCATATCATTTTTAAGGGGTAGTTTCTAAAGATTTCTTAGGCTGATTTAGCAAAAGATGAATTATATATATACCTTTTGCTCCATGGACAAGATGACCTGTTCTGTGGATACCAGTCAGCCTCTTTCCCCAGCCATTCCTACCACTGCCCAATGGGCTCATAAAGAAAGTAGCTACAGTAGCAGGGATGGAGGTTCTGCAAGGGCTCAGCAACAAGGACTTCCACTCACGAAGGCCGAATGGCTATGGCTACTGCTGAGTGCCCAAACTTCTAGCAGCAGAGAGTAACAATGAGTCTCCACTATGACACCATTTTCTGGGTTGACCAGCCAGCTCTCAGATGGCAGGTTGATTATAATAGACTCTTTTCATCATAGAAGGGGCAATGTTTTGTTCTTACCGAAATAGACACTTAGTCTAGATATGGATTTACCTTTCCTGCATACAATGCTTCTGCCCGAACTACCATCCATGGACTTCCAGACCATCCGTGGACTTACAGAATACCTTATCCACCATCATGGTGTTTCACACAGCATTGCTTCTGGTCACAGAACTCACTTTACAACAAAACAAGTACAGCAATGGGCTTATACACATGGAACTTACTGGTCTTACCATGTCCTCCACCATCCTGAAGCAGCTGGCTTGACAGAATGATGGCATGGCCTTTTGAAGACTCAGTTGCAGTGCTAGCTGGGTGGCAATACCTTGCAGGTCTAGGGTAAGGAAACAGACTCAGAGTCTCTAAAGAGGGACCTAATCTAACCTCGGGTGGAGAAGAGGGTAGGGCAAGGCAGGAAAGGCTCATCTGGAAGAAGTCATATTAAGCTAAGATCTAAACAATGAGTAGGTTTTCACTAAGTAGAGAAAAAGGTGGAAGTGAGAAGGTTGTTCTAGATGGAAGTTCTGGGGTGGGGAAGGCACATAGGGCCACAGCATTATACACAACAGGCTTCAAAAGACAGGCAACTGACCAGACACTACTAACCATTTTCTTCAGTCTCTTCTCTTCTCGTTTTTTCTCAAGTTGAGCGTCCTTCTCCTCTGCCTCCCTCTTCTGATGCTCCTCCTCTTGGGCCTTTAACTGGGCCTGACCAAAATTAGAATTCATAAAAATCAGAACCCTCGATTTGTATGGAACTAAAATCTTTTAAGTTGAGGTTGAAGAAAGTCAAATATCTACCAACCATCACTCTGGAAGAAGCCTGCACTTTGTGATAAAAGTAGAAAACCTGACCAACACAAGGTCAGTTGTGTAATTTCAAAGTTTCTCCAAAGAGTTCTTTTCTACTTGGGAAGGTGAGACTAAGCATGAATAAGGCTATTAACTTTTAATCATAAAATGATAACTTTTTAGTTCTCATTTTCATCTGTGAAATACTAAGTCCAAACTATATAATATGAAAAAAATTTTTCATTAATTTCACCAAAAAACCCCTCAAAACTGTCTACTTTTTCTTAGTAGGTACAAAATTTACTTCTGACAGATCAAGTCAAGACTTTGAAAAATAAGAACTACCTAACTTTGCAAACTCATCAGGTCAGGCATCTATCTATAACACATTAGTCTTGGTTAAGTGTAAGTCCTCCAATTTGCTAGTTCCCATCAACATTTGTAACATTTCCTACCTGTTATATGAATGCTGTTGATGTTTTTCCCTTTATTTTCCTAAAATTGTCACAGAGTTCAGGCCAGTGGGCAAAAAGTCATTTCCAAAGTGGTGCAACTCTATTGTCTCAGTAGGTTTAAATGAGCTAGATTTAATTTTTTATTGAAGACCTATACAAATCCTTTTTCTTGCCTCAGTTTGCATTCTTGATTTATTACCAATTTCTCCTCTTCTTGTTTCTTCTTCCTCTCTGCCAAGATCCGCCTCCGTTCAGCTCGCTGAACTGCTCTCTCTTCCATGGCTAGAAAACAGTAACAGAGTTCTAATATCAAAAATATGAAGAACACTGCAAAACAAATATTTCCATTTTAGAGTAAAATTTGGTGTTAAAATTTTATTTTAAGTTGAGTGTTCATAATTTTATGTATAAAATTTATATTAAAATACAAATATATAAATTGTAGGTATGTGTGTGTATACATATATCTTCTGTAGGTTAAAGACCTATAATCCCATCCTCAGCAATGAACAATTTGCAGATTTTTGTTTTTGTTTACATTTCTATTAGAATAACGGTTTACTAATTTAAATAAGATAATGTGCCTTGATGATACTTGAAGTATGTGAAACCCAGAAACTAGATTTTTAATTTGATAATTCTTTTAATGAATGTAGAAAACTTTAATTATTTCTAACAAATACTTTGAGAATAGAATTATTCCTCAAATCCCATTGAGTCTTCTAATTTTTCCTAAGTCACTGTACATATGTCTGTACATGTTAACAACAACAAAACAACAACAAACTAAAGTTTAGGGTCATGATCAATACATTTTAATTGAGTTTTAAGGCCTGATATCCAGATGGGCAGGAAATGAAATTGCACTACACAGTTGGAGAACTGGCATCTGAATGAATTCAAGTGTCAGACTCCTGTTCTTGACAGTCTATTAAATATCAATCCAAAAGAAGCAAATGTGCAAGATGGTCTGATAATATGACTCTGTCATCAGTTAGGACTTTCATAGGAAGAGGAGCATGGGTGGGAGCAGTATCAAGTTCTGCTCACCTAAGTCAGCCAATGGTTACTTTTGGTTCCTCATGCCATGCTATAGAGGAAGAAAATTTAAGTCCAAGTTTTAAGAATTAATAAACAAAAAACTTGCCAGGCTATTTCTTACAGATATTAAGTGTCTGCTTTGCTGGGAAAAGAATAGTGGGAGTGCCACAGATGGTGGAAGTGAGACTGTCTCTAAGGAGACAGAAATAGATTGGAGGATTAAAGTGCTTCTTTAAAGAGAGAGAGGGCAGAGTCTGTGGTAATATGTGCTTTCTCCATCTTTTCTGTAGCTAGTTATTAAAGACTACTTGAAAAGTAGCCTGGGGCATGAAATATGCTAACTCCTTGATCAAATAATAATAATAGAATAATCACACTAAAAAGGGCATTTCTTGGTCATCCTCAATGGTGAACAAAGATGGCATAAACTATTGTCCCGGCAAAGTCAATACAAAGACTGCTAATTTCTTCATTAATGGGAATGGACTTTAGGCACAATGTCCTTCAGATGATATCATTTCTTGCTAGGGCAGTAATCTTGCCATAAGTGAAAAATCAGATTTACAAACCACAATATTATTGTCAATGTGCCTACTACCATATACAAATATATGAATAGTGACTATATAGTAAAAACAATTAGCGGATTCATTAGGTGGCTTCTAAGGAATACTCATATATTCTTTGGTTTAAATAACAATTTCTATGTACATCAAATATCTTATTAAATTAAAATGTGTGGTTTATAGATTTTATTACTAAAAGCCTATCATCAAGGCACAACTCATTATAAAATGATGGAATAACTTGATGTGAATTGGTCAATATTTTAACGTTAATAAAGTATAATGATACTTTATTCTTAGCAGCTACAGTTTTCTCATTTGTGTATTTGTCCCTTTTTTTTTTTAATAACAATACGAATCTCAAATTATAGGAAAATGATACACCTTTCAGCAATGGTGTTCCCCCCCGCCCCCTCCACATTGGCTTGAAAGGCAGAAAAGTTTGGTAGAAGAGGCAAGGAAAATAGTGGGGCTCTCTGGTGTATTCTGCTTCCCACATGTCTTATCCATCTTAAACTGACCACGTTCTGCCAAGCCTCAAAACCAAGAGTTGCCAGAATTCAGTCCAATCACATTCTACTCCAAGAGGGAAGATAACCACCACCAAAGCCCCACGAAGACAGCCCTGCCTTTTACTATGGGATGGGGTGCCATCAGCTGCCTTGGGTTCCTTCTGGGTCCAGAAAGAGAATTTCGAGAGCCACTTCTACTACCTTCAGTCAGAGGAGAAGCAACAGGCAAACTGAGGGGGGAAAAAAAGAGAATTCAGACCGATAACCAGCTTTGTTCAAAACCACTGTACCTGAGGAACTCAAAGCATTTTAAAAACTTTAATCAATCCTTACTCTGAGATAACTATAAATTATTATACCCACTAGATAAATTGGTGTAATGAGGCATGGAAATTTGAGTGATTAGCCTGAGTCTACAGTGTGAGCCTGGTGCTCTGACTCCCATCCCAGTGCTTCAAATAAATAGGTATCAACCACTTCTTATCTTACCATTTATCACACATATTGAGTATGTCTCAAGCATGTCTGAAACTATCTTAAATAGCTTTTGAGAAATTGGGGCTCTTATTCCAGGCTCAAAGATTTTCTTTACCCAAAACAGCTACAAATTTAAGCTAGATAATTGGCCGACCCCAGGGATTGCTCCATTTGGACCTGATATTGTCTGACTTGGCTTCTCAGCACTAAACATAAGCAGAAACCCATAAATCAGGTTAGAAGCAAGGAAGCATTTTTCTCTTCTACCAGTATAATAACAGCTCCTCAGACAAAGGCAGTTGCAATACAAATGCTAACTGTATAAGTGGATCCTATAGGCAGCCACTTGCTTTAAATACCTATTTGTACCTGTCATGTGCCAATCACAATGCACAGGGCTTCTTTACTTTGAGAGTGCATAGTAAGAGAAAAGGGGAGATCATAGAGTCTGGAAGCTGGGCAAAGTTCAGGAGCCCCTCTACTACAAAGTGAAAACCCTCAAATAATGAGTCAAAAGACTGTTCTGATACAACGGACATACTTTGGAAGCACCTGGCAGGTTTTTTTTGGTTCTTCTTCGTTGGGGTTTGACAGCGGGCAGCTCTTTGCATTTGTGACTACTGTAGCATGCTCCGCTGCCCACCGAGCCTTCGCCAGCCTCTGGCTTTCCTTCAGCTCCAGAATTGTTTTCTTCTGTTCCTGAAGTTTCTTCTTTTGCTTCTGAATCAGCTGTTGCTGGAGGACATGGCGGTTGTGGAAATGACCCATGCAAATGGGTTCTGCTTTCTGAATGCTAGTTCTGAGCTTCTCATTGCTGCTAGGCTGTTGGGAGGGCTCGACATCCAAAGTCTTGTGCAGTTTATTGTCAGATGTGTTCAGAGGGACATTCTGGAGGGGAACCTGTAAGATGTTTTTTGCTGGTCTATCTTGGTGCGAGCTGGGCATACAATCATTGCTCCCTGGGGGTACGGCAGTCACCTGAGAGAGAAGATGTTATAGCTCAGCTATTTAAAGGATTGTGCTGATGAGATCTGACTTCATCTAGTCGGCACTGCTCTGTTTAATAGCACGTCTTCTCTGCACCTCGGCCAGAGTTGCCCTGTGCTGCTGGCCTGGCATCTCAGAGACTACCAGCCTTCGCTCTGTGAGCCACTCTTAGAATGGGTACAGCTACTCACCATGAAAACTGGGTGAAAGAATGGCTACAACTGTATGAACCATTGACATGGGCCAGGACATTTGTAATGAGAAAAATGTGCTCTTATAAATTGCTAATTTGGATAGTTTATTTGTGAATTAGGCAAGATTACTCTAGATACATATTACAGGAATTTTAATTTGTACAAATTGATTGAATTTTGCAGAAAATTGAAAATTTTGTTGCAAAGGATATATTCTTTCTCAAGAATGCTTGACAATTAAGGAATATCCTAACAAATCAGTAACAGCTCTTTAATAATAGCTTTTTCAATGCCTCTCTTACCACTAAGTTAATCATAAGGTATTTATTTATTTCAAGATTAAAGCCTGGATTATAAAGTTGTCTCCAGTTATTCCCAAACAATCTATTGTGGAAATACTGGCAAACCCAGGATTACTGAACAAATAACTGTATTATGTAAGAATAATGTTACCTAATAATACTTTGTATTAGTATATGGCTTACTAGTTTTCAAAGCTTTATCATTTAAATCTCATTTAACAGACTGAGGTATCATACTCCATTACAAGTTCTGTTATACAGAGAGGAAGGAAGCACAATTTTTAAAAAGAAAATTTTATTCTGGCCAAAATATTGTCATAGTGAAAATGTTTCTTCTTTTCACTTAGAATGGTTTGATTCTAAGGTCTAACCAGTTTTTGATTCTGCCTTCTGCAGTGATGTAAGGAGAAAAATACTGTGAACTATCTTATATCTTAGAAGCTTCTAGCTCTAAAAGGGTGTACACTAAGGTACTCAAAGATATTTTCTATGATGATACAAATATTTTTTATAGATTCAGCTGAAGTGAAAGATGTGATATATGGAAACTCAGACATGTTAAATACTTTAAAAAATAATCTATTTCAGAAATGTCAGTGGACATTTATTCATGAGAACATCTGCTTAAGTAATTTAGTATCAAGCAGGGTATATGTTTTAGGCCCTTTTAAACTTTGCAGTAATGATACCTTATTAACCCAGCAGGACTAAAAGCTTTCAGTACAGTAACAAGATTTCTTTTGGATCATGGTAACTTTTTAAGGTGAAAATAAGAAAATGAAAGAGAAGCTTACTGGTACAGGTTGTACTTAAGAGAACAGAACTGAACAGTCTGGCTTAAGTAGAGAAAATTACCTATTAGCTAAATAATAATTCTGAAAAATTTCAAGGTATAATATATGTTTGTGGTACATGAGTTCGAATGATTGTATAATTAATGAGCATCTAACTAGAAATTTTATATTGTCATTTGTTCATGTTACACTCTAAACTCTGGAAAAGATGATAGTTTCTACAGTAACCTACAGTCTATTATAGCCCTTTATTTTCGTTTGCTCTATTTTTTATAATATTATCCTTTCTTGATAAATTCTTTTGTTCTTGATTTTAGAGATATGGAGATCTTTTTTCTTGAGTCTAAATTATGCATACATATTGAATAATTTTTCTGTTTTACGCAGGTAAAAACAATACTTTCTGCTGACTTTTTTTTAAATTTAAAGATAATAACAGTGGAAATTTGTAGGGTAAAATGTCCTACACAGCTATTTCCTATGATAGAAGATTTTCCTGGGTCTCAATCGAAACAAAATTATATAACTGACATAAAAGTAGATAAATTGCCTAAGGGAAGGGACCAAGATGTTACATAAGTCCCAATAAGCATCCTCATGATGCCCCTTTTCTGAGAGACTAAGCTTAAATTAAGACCAGCCTCCTTGTTATCAGTAATCAGGATAAAGAACAAGCCTGGAGACCCAAGCCTGTGGTGCCCAAACTAATTTCACATATCTGAGTTGAGTACTGAACAGTGTTATGTAGAGGATGGAGGGGGCCTGGGGTGCAGGCGACGGGGCAGAGAACCTTCTCTGGAAGGCTTTTCAAACACAAGTGCAATTATGAAAGAAAAAACTGATAGCACTGACTTTGCAAAAACTTAATATGTATAGTACCAAAACCATCAATAAACCAAAAAGACAAATTACAAAATGAAAAAAAAAATTATAAAATATAAAATAGTAAAAGCATCAGTGTCTTAAAAATATAAAGAGCTCCTATAAATAACAGGATACATAATCAAGAAGAAAAATGGAAAAAAGGCATAAAGAGACAAGTCACTATGCATCTTTCTATATCCATTCTCACATACTACATATATATGCAAATGACTAATGTAAAAAATGTTTAACCTCACTAGTAATCCAAAAAAAAAAAAAAGAAAAAAAAGGAAATGTTGAAGCAATAATAAGATGAAAATATTTTACCTGTTAACTTGGCAAAAATGAAAAATATGTTATCAGGCAGGAAAACACACTTGTTTGGTGCAATATCACTGGAAGGGCAATTTGGTAATAGCCTTTACAATGTGCATTCTATTTTTAGGTATTTATCCAAAATAAAACATTATGGATGTGTGCAAAGATTTACCCACAAAGATGCTGACTGAAGCTTTGTTTGCAATAGTGGCAAACTAGAAATAATTTAAATATCCAGCAATAGAGAAGGAGATAAACCGATTCTAGCTTATGGTTCACAATAGAATATCATGCAGCCATTATAACATGATGACACAGCATGGTAGTCCTTAATCAGGGGGTATTCATCAGGTTCATCTGCAGAACTTTAAAAAAATACAGGTACCCCACTCACTTGAAATTCATAGTGATCTGATTCTGCAGGATATTCTCAGTTGAGAACTACTGTTGAAGAAGTAGATTTACTGATAAAAAATCCTCATACAGTGAAGATAAAAAAGAAACTTTTTAGAAAATAGAATAATTATATTATTATTAAAAAAGAAAACACATGGCCTTCCTTTCTCTGTGTTAAGGCAGACTAATGTCCTCAATGACTCAAAGAAAAATTTAAAGCTAAATATTAAAGAGAAGAATGTATACATGCCTGAATAGAGAATAGACTAGATGGCTGGCTATACCTCAATATGTGGTGGTTATCTCCAGATGACAGAATTACTATTTTACTTTTTTCTCTGTCATTTTATCATACCAAATTGCTACAATTAATATATATGATTTTTCTCACTAGAAAAATAAAAACTTAAACATTTCCTTCTTGTAAGTCACAAGCATATTTAGAAATGTCTGATGATCAAATAAGAGTTCAAGAGTTGTAAACAATGCTTTATATATCTGTTCCTGAGGGAGTCTTTCTCTTAGTAGTTTTAAATTCCCTCACTTATGTCCCTACTAAGTTTCAGCTACATCAAAGTTTACGTGATTATAAAAAGAAGATTCGGTTCAGGAAAATAAACATTGACTGAAAGATAAACTTTGTGCATTGTAGCAGCTTCCACCTTTCAGATAGCTTAGGCAAGGCAATCTGACAAGGGCTAACATACTCTAAGCTATCCAAGTGCAGAGCTCAAATGCAAGTGGTTAATAAGTAGGAAGACCAAGCAAAGAAAACACAATGTACCTCTCCATTTCTTATAGGTGGATCCACCATGGCTGTTGCCTCCTCAAGTACACTGACACCTGATGATCTGTTTGCACGGAGTTTGCCTAGTGATGCTGCCTTCAAAAACTCATTCATTTTCCTCCGTGTTTCCTCCTTTGTTAGAGCCAGCTCTCTCTTTAGGATGTCTGCACGATAACAATGCTGCCATTCTGTAAAGTGATGCCGGAGAACTTGTTTCCGGTTATACTCAGCGGCCAGTTGTTGTTTTCTAAGCAAAAAAAATTTCCATTAAAAAACGAATCAATTCAGTAAACTCTGACATTACTTATAGTAATATTTTTTTTTTTGAAAATGTTTCCTTGGGCAAGGGGAACAAGAAAAAATAAACAAATGGGATTATATTAAACTAAAAAAGATTTTGCTCAGCAAAGGAAACAATCAACAAAACAAAAAGACAACCTACTGAATGGGAGAAGATATTTGCCAATGATATCTGAAAAGGGGTTAAAATCTAAAATATATAAGGAATTCATACAACTTAACACCAAAAAGACAAACAATCCAAAAAAACAAATGGACAGGGGACCTGAACAGACATGAAAAGATGCTCGATGTCACTAATTATCAGAGAAATGCAAACTGCAAATTCAAACCACAATGAGGTATCACCTCACATTTGTCAGAATGGCTATCATCAATAAATCAACAAACAAGTATTGTCGAGGATGTGGAGAAAAGGGAACCGTGGTGCACTGTTGGTGGGATTGTAAATTGGTACAGCCACTATGGAAAACAGTATGGAGGTTCCTCAAAAAAACTAAGAATTGATCTACCATATGATCCAGTAATCCCTCTACTGGATATTTACCCCAAATACTTGAAAACTCATATTCGAAAAGATACTTGCACACCCATGTTCATAGCAGCATTATTCACAGTGGCCAGGACATGGAAGCAACTGAAGTGTCCTATGATAGATGACTGGCTAAAGAAGCTATGGTATATATATACAATGGAATATTACTCAGCCATAAGAGATGAAATACTGCCATTTGCGACAACATAGATGGACCTTGAGATAATTATGCTAGGTGAAATAAGCCAGACAGAAAAAGTTGAAAATCACATGATATCACTTACATATGGGATATACACCTAAAAACAACAAATGAACAGGACAAACAAACAGAGACTCATGGACATGGACTATAGACTAGTGGTTACCAGAGGACTATAGAGTAGTGGTTACTAGTAGGATAGGGGAGGAGCGGGGAGGTAGACGGGGTAAAGGGAGTTAAATATAGAGGGATAGGAGGAGTGTGAAGTGAGTAAAGGGGACCAAATATATGGTAGCTGAAGGAAACTGGACTTTGGGTGGTAAACACACAATAGAATATATAGATGTCAAATTATAATGTACACCTGAAAATTATATAATTGTATTAAGCAATGTTATCCCAATAAACTTAATAAAAAATGAAAATAAAAAATAAAAAATAATTTAAAAAAGAAGGGCAAATACCATATGATTTCACTTATATGTAGAATCTAAAAAACAAAATAAACAAACAAAATAGAAACAGATTCATAGATACAGAGAACAAACTGAGAGTTGCCAGATGGGAAGGGTGTTAGAGGCTGGATAAAACTGATGAAGGGATTAGGAGGTACAAATTGGCAGTTACAAAACAGTCACAAGGATGTAAAGTACAGCATAGGGAATATAGTCGATAATATTGTAATAACTATATGTATGGCATCAGGTGGGTACTAAACTTATTGGGTGGATGATTCTATAAGTTATGTAATTGTCTAACCACTCCACTGTGCACCTGGAACTAATATATTGAATGTCAACTGTAACTGAAAAATAAAAATTAAAAATTAAAAAGCCTCAGGAAATCTGAAAAAAAAAAAAAGCCATTTACAGCTTGTTATTTAGTAATATAAATGAAACACAAGTCCAAAGGAATCCCAGAAATGCTCCACTTAGCTCCAGCTTATCCTTATATTTAAGCTAAATGGAATTGTTTTATAAAATTCCTCAGTGCAAAGGGTCTGCTCATAGAGGCGCTGATATCTCAAGACATTACTTCAGAAGAAAGAGTGACTGTTCTGTTTCATCATGTCACAAAGATATATTATTTTGATTACCATAAAATAGTTTCTGAGAGCTTTTAGAGGGAAAGGAGCAAAAACAATGGGTGTATAAATAATTACTTTTTAAAAGATGAATGCATGAGGGATATATTCAGCTACACTTGGAAATCTAAGGAAGACAGAAGTTTGAAAGAAAGGGAAAGGAACAAAACTTAAGTGAAATGCCAATAATTAAGTATAAGACTTATAAAAGTCAACATGAAATTATGAGGATGGATCTTGTGAAAGAAGGACTTGGTCAGGGAAAGAATCTCTAAAAACGACTAATTTACTGAATGCTTAAAGTAAATGAGTGAAGGACTGCCTTGTGAAGGAAGATACTTGCTAAAACACTAGACATGTGTGAAAGGCACAGACAGGCATTTGCTCTGATGGAACTCATTCAGAGTCTACTAGGGGGTCTGATTCATTCTCTTCTAAGGAAGAGTTCCTTTTGATTCTCGGAAATTTCATGAACATTAGGGGGCATGTCTGAATGAAATTGGAACTGCCAGCTACATTCCCTTCCCAAGGGGAATCTCTAATAGGAGACACTACGGTGGTAGCCAGTCGAGAATTCAAGCATAGCGTTCTCTGAGATCTATCTATAAATGGATGATTACTGTTTCTGAAGAAGTAAGGTGTAGAGGTTGGAATTTATGTCACATCAGGGGTCAGTTTCAAGGTTTAAAACCTAATACTATTTAGATACCTACTCGATTTTATCTTGTAAAGATGACTCGAATAAATTCTCTATAACTCTATTTGCATATCCATTTTTGTTAAATGTATATAATGCTTAACATTCCTCATGGACTTTTTGGGGTCATATAAAAAAAACATAAAGTTCTTAAAGTCTGTGAGTCAAGAGAAAATTTCTATAGTTGTTAAACACTCAAATGACTTTTAACTTTTTGATTGCCACCTCAGTAAGAAAAAAATGTTACACTATGACTCAATATACAATTTATGTGTGTATGTATATACAACCAAAACAAAAGTTTCACCAAACATTTACTCTTATTATCAGAGATGTACTTGGATATTTCTGTTCTAATCTATTCTATTTCTTTAAAAAATATAGTTCATCTTGAGCCTGATTTCAGGACCTACTAATGGGTTAAAACTCTTAGTTTAAAAAAAACTACTCTAGAGTCACAGATTTTTTTTTTTTTTAGGCACAGCAACTCTTGGTTGACCTCACAGATTGCAGGGACCTTGTCAGCTTACAATCCCCTATTTTTTAGGCCTACAGCATCTGGTTTTCCTAGATGGTATCCCATCCAAGTACTAACCAGGCCCAACCCTGCTTAGCTTCCAAGATCAGATAGGATTGGGCTTGTTCAGGATAGCACGGCCATCGACTAGAGTCACAGAATTCAACTTATGTCAGGAGTTAGATAAAACAACCAATTAATGAGAGCAAAGTCAATTAAAAAAATGAATTTTGGGATAATACTAACAGCAACTCTGCCAGCAGCATTTTTCATTATATTTAATTGCTTCCTTCTAATGAATTAATAATTGATACTCGATAAATATTTGGTGATTGGGTGATGGTTTTGTAATGAAAGTACAATATCAGTTGTAATAAACATTTATATATTATTTTACTTTGATGGAAATAAATTAAATATCTGAGATTGAATAACCTTGAAATCAAAATTTTAGAAGAATAATAATAAATCAAATTAGCAACATAAGTAAGAACAAAGCTCTAAAAATATCAATGTATAAATGATGAAACAAACAAACAACCCTATAGCACTTAAGTGAAAATCACAAATTTCTCTGATTATGTACATTGCTCTGATTAATGTGAAATTTAATTTACATCAATCTGCTCAGGAAGGCAGAGTGTGAAATTTACCTGATATATTATTAATTTCATGTTTTTACAGCATCCAGAGCCAAAACAACACTGAGGTTTTGACTGTCAAGGAAGAAATTATTTGGACATTGTAAAGAGGCAAAGAGAAAAAATATTCCTGTAAGTATGACAAAAAGACTAAACAGGAAGAAAATAGGTAAAAAAAAAAAAAAAAATGCATGTTCACTATAGTGCTTAGAGCCTACTCTGTAATGGTTAGGTAGGTGATATGAAGAAACATTTAATATGCATGTATGTGGGTTGAAGTGGTAGGGTAGAAACACAGAAGCTAGGGATCCAGAGACAAGGCTGCATCCTTGCAGTTCACTTCAGCAGAGTGACACTATTCCAGATAAGCCAATTTCTATATATTTTTAAAAGATGACGTTAAAAACACAAATATTTCTGAAAGTAAAAAATCACTTAAATTTCTTAAAAGCTCAACCAGATGTGATTTACTTGGGTATGCTAACATAAAAGAAATGGTTTCAGACACAGCTCCCAGATAATCAAAAAATGAAGAACAGAGTTCCTGTACAGAAAACACCCTGTCCTGGTATGCTTCCAAGTGAAATCAGGGAATTTCTGGCAAGAATATATAAACTGATCATCATAATTATATAACTGAATGCAGAGAAAGGCTGTTGCTAAAGACATAAGAATATAAAATATAAAGAAGTTTTTTTTCTTTTTTTAAAATTATTATTTATGCCTACAGCACCTGGTCTTCCTAGGTGGTCTCCCATCCAAGTAATAACCAGATCCGACCCTGCTTAGCTTCCGAGATCAGACATCAGGCTTGTTTAGGGTGGCATGACCGTAAACCATGGACCGTGGCTCCACTGGGGTGCGAACCCAGAACCTTCTGTGTGTAAAGCAGATGTACTAACCACTACAATATGGAACCACGTCCATAAATTTAAATTTAAACTATGCTACTTAGAATCAACACCTCAAATGATACTTAGTGATTGCTGCATATTATAGAACTGAAAAGTCAGAACACTAACCATATATGGGACACTGGGCCTAAATCTAAGCCTTAGATTTCATCTCAAAAATATTATCACCCTAAAACAAAAGCTCCACACTGACTATCCTCAGGATAAAAAGAAAACTTGAAAATATAACTCAAATTCTTATGTAAGGTTATAACACCATCTTAGGTTAATTTTAGATACCTAAAAAGTTTCTTCAATTTTTTAAAAAAGGAAATGAGAAATGGCAAATAAATAACCAATTACTAGTGATCCGATTGA